AGATCCATGGTTTTATGATTGGCTAAATTTTGCTAAAACATAGTTCTTAACTAATATTGAACAAGATGTCATAACATCTTGACCAAACTGATACAGCAGACATATGTTCTGACAAATGTTATGACATGCTGAACCAGAACATCAGTACAGGTTGTTTTTAAATCTTAACAGATTTAATTTGATTTTGTGACGTTTCTTTTGGATATATCTCAATAATTTTTGCAGGTCAAGAAGATTTACTCTGGAACAAGTGATCTATTCTTCAGCTGTACATAAGTTTCTAAAATTGGATGTTGAGACAATTTAGGAAACTTGATGTTTTGTTCCAAGATTTAAGGAGATTTTTCTGCATAATTGGTGCAACCCTCGGCTTGTGGATCAAGAAATATCAGGGTGAAGATTTCGAAGCCCATGAACTACTGAGGTGTATTTAAAGAGAAACCTAAACCTAATATAATTTAACTTTTCACAATTGTAAAATTAAGGGTAGTCTTAAGTCTTAGGTTTTGAGAGTCTCTTGTGTTTTGTAAGTCACTCATGTATCTTTTGATACAGTGAGATAGATTGATTGTTACTTGATTGTTTATCAAGTATTTGTTCTCACTCTTGAAGTTTTTAAGTATAGAGTTGAGTATTATTATTAGTTGAAGTTTTTAAGCAAAATTAAACATTATTTATCGAAAGTATAATCCTCTATTTGGTTCTTTTGATTCTAGTCACAAGGTTTGTGACTGTAGGTATCACTGTGGTGATTGGAATTGAGAGGGGAATCTTATATCTAGGTGGTAATTCCTAGGTAAAAGTTGCACAAGATAGTGATTAGGCAAGAAGTTGTAAGCTGAGACTGTTTAGGCTTTGAACTAATACTATCAGTGAATTACCTTCCTGGTTCGGTAGCCCCAATAATAGGTGACGTTGCACCGAACTGGGTTAACGATTAGTTGTGTTATTTATCATTCTGCAATTTATTTCAGCATATTTTATAGTTTGATATTATTGTTTTGTATTAGGAATAGATGTCACAACATTTGTCTTGACATTGTGTTCTGATGTTAAGTCATCAGTATTAACATGTGTTGCAAGTATCAGACTTTCAAATTGTTTTGTTGATTATCTTATAGACCCCATCCATTCGTATCAGGCAATCAAGTCTCACCTTCTTAGATATGACACAAGCACATGGAAGACCATATGTTTTCACAAGTGTGCAACCACACTTTGAGCTATCGGAACCTACATTAGAAGCTTGTTTGGCTTCGTGAAAAATATAATTCAGAGTTGATTGAGATATGTTGCTTACCAACTGAGAATATAGAGTGTTTTCTTTGAACCTGTGTTCCAACACTATGATACTACGATCAAATGATGTTTGTATCCCATTATGCTGGTTTAGTATCATTTGGTTCATAGATTCCCAATCCGCACACAAATCACTCTTGTTATTTCCCAATCAATTCTTCAGACAAGCATGAACAGACTCAACTCAGTTTGTTATTGTATTTCTAAAGTGCATAACCTGAACGGTCCAAGCACAAACAATCTTTTCCTTTACCTGGTCCAAAATTTTGCTTTTAAAATATTTCAGATGATCGGGATATTTCACGCACATCTTCTTGAAATGTATAACAACATCAACATATAGCTCTTTTATAGATGCATTTCTTATAATATCCATGCGTTCATAATTTTCTCTACAATGACATCTGCCTTGACTAGTTTTCCATATTCACCTACTATATATTTTGTCTCTACCGCGGGTTTAACGCGACTTCTCACATTCTTAGTAATGTGATACCTACAAAGCAATGCATAAGAAGTGGGAAATATCGTTGCAACCAAATTTATTAATGTGGTATCTCGATCGGTAACAATGACTTTCGACATATCTTCTTGATCCTTCAACATTAACCAATATACCTCTAAAGCCCATGTAAAATTGTCCTCTTCTCAGTCGACGCAACACCAACAATTTCCAACAACGGAAGCCAGTATTTACTTGTCTTATATGTTGAATAAATTATAAGCACAGTGGAAATGTATTAAACAATTTAATGGAATCAAGATGAGTCGATCCTCACATCTCTGGTGCCTAGAAACGTAATTGTTATCATCTAGAAGTTTCAAGAGGTGTTGCATTTCAGTTTGATCCTCCCTAACTGCTAATTTGGATTGATAGTGCCTATTGTACACTTGCTTGATATTTGAGATATTCCTAGATCTTTTGCGCTTCAAGGTTGCAAGTATGTTTTTGGATGGTACCGAATTCAATGTCATGTCGGAAACACATTCCTTCTCTTCTGGCAAGAGCCACCATGCAATTGGATGATCGGTTAAGTTCGCACATAAATCATGATTATGTAAACCACATATCACATTAAATCTCCATTTATTATTTGTCAACTGATAACCACGCAACTTAAATGGACATTCACATTTTTTTGAACCGGTATCATCTCGTTTCAAATTCCGGAGAGGACGTCTATATTTCCCTCTTTTTTCGCATGTCAATGTCACAAATGTACATCTTGTATCTGAATCATTAACAAATCTTCTGATCACAACACCATTTCTAGTTTGGTGGCTTCTGTATGAATCCACTGCAACATGCCATCACGAAATTCATACTCTTGTTCATTTTCAAAATAGTTCTAAATATCTACTACCTTAACTAAGAAAGGTGAAACAACTTAAGACACAATAGATTTGAGAATACCATCGGAATGCACCATACCTAATGAAAAAAATGTTTAACTAAGAAACATCCATAGCAAAGAATAAATTACTGGAAAATAAGCACAAACAGATATCAGAAATGTATATCCGGTCCAGTTCATTGCGTAACTGGAAGTATATTTCTGGTATTAGCGTAACTTTTTTTTAGTGAAAACACATATTAATGTGATGAATGAGAGTTAAAATGAATAAACTTTATCTTAAACTTCACTTCCTTTAGCTCCTTTTGATATGATGAACAACAAGAATGAAGATTTAAAGTGAAAAACTTGATTGAGAATGAAATGGTTTTTTGAAGAGGATTTATGAAAACTTCTGTAAATGAAGATAATCATTCTGATTCATGCTAGTTGGTGTTTTAAGCAATTTGATTTTCCCATAAATACATTTTCAGTAATATCTGACATGCAAAGATAACAAAATTTCCAATTTCTCGCACTAATTAACCGGAAATACATTTCTAATTCCCTCCCGTAAATACATCTCTAAAATTAACTGAAATTTAACAAACAAAAAAAAAAGTCCTAAAAATACACTTCCAAGAACGCAAAAGCAAAATTGAATTTTCATAGAGTTTTTTTCAATAGCATAGAGTGTAATAAGATATTCCCTAAAATAAAGTGAACACTTTAGTACTCCTAAAGTTTGGTTCACTTGGGTACTCCTAAAGTTTGGTTGCCTAAAGTTTGATGGGGTATTTACCCATCACCCATTCATAGAATGTCAAGCACTCTTTCATAGAATGTCATGTCATTTTTTAACAATAATTTATTTTAAAATAAATAAAAAATTGAAATAAATTTGCTTAAGGGTGCCTGTACCCAATTAAAATTCATGTGAAGCTAAGAATTTACTTTAAAATAAAAGCCCCTTTAGACCTAAAAAAAAAATAAAAAAATAAAAAAATAAAAGACTAATTCTCTCAATCAATGTCCAACAAGTCGTTTTTCTGCGGAGAATCAAAACAAATGCACCAAATGGGAAAAGGATTCCATGACTTTACTATGTTGTTAAGTTTCATTACTTTAGTGCATTTTAAATATAAGAAAGTTATAGAAATTCAAAGTCACCTAATTGGTCCCAAAAGTTTGGGGGTACTGGTTGTCGTATGCTGTTGTTGTGGTATCTTCTCACATGGGCTACGGAAAGAGAGAGGAATGACAAATACATGAATGAATGGAAAAATAATGACAGCAAATGCAGCAGACAAATACTACATATTATACATGATGATATCAGTCATTTATTTCATATCAGACGACTCAAATCACACAACTAGTCAATTAATTTTAAACAATTTCCACCATTAGTTTAAATCGAACGACCAAAACATACACATAAGTTCTATCTTTAAAAGTCACCTCACACACAAACGCTCCACAAGACTTGTGCAATATGAGAAAGCACGAGTGGAGGGCGACCAAGACTGTTACCTACTCAATGGAAAATGTTTTATTCCCTTTCTCCAAAGAGGACCAATGCTTTTATGAACACTCCACAATGCTTATTCAAAATGGGAATCCACATGTGAAGAGGGACCAAAATTGCTACTCAACGGAGAATCTTTACTCGCTTTATATGAGATTATGAGAATGCAAATTCAACATTTGCCACTTCTGGAGTACCACATGGTAGATAAGTCTTAAGGTCCTTTGAGTTGCAAATTAACATAATAAGTCTGTAACAGAAAGGTTAGGAGAAAAAAAATGTGGTTTCCTACTTATTGTATTCTGAGAGAAGGTGCCACCTGAATACTTAAGCTCGCCTACGATTTTTTAGCTACTGATTTGGTGGAAATGTAAAGGTTTGTTAAAATCCCCTGCAATAGGAAGAAAACCATGTCAGATGCGAGGCTTTATGGTAAAAAGATGGTTAAGAAATTAAGTAGAATAGATAGATATATTATAATTTGAAAGTGCAGTTAGAAGATTAAAAGAGAAACTCTGACCATATAAGTGATAAATCAATAAGTTTCATTAGGATTTTCTTTGCTTCGGATGAGAGGAACGCCATCTTTCCTCCAAACTATACGGTCTTCACATAAAGCCTCTACCACCTCAACATATAATTGGTGTTCCTAAATTTGGAAATTAAAACAAGGAATTATTAACTGGTATTCATCTGGTTAAAATCAAAATGCTAAAGGTTTGTTAAAAAATAAATAAATAAATTTGGGATTGTTGTTCAATGGTTTAAAATGTCACAATTTTTTGGGAGTTGACTCATGATTATAAACTGCCATTACCTCTCTTAGAACCCTAGCAGCCAACTCTTCTGCAGTATCATTAGCAAGCACAGGGACAACACGCTGTGCAAGGATACGACCTGTGTCGTAGTGTTCATCCACGTAATGAATTGTAGGACCTGAAAATCTAACAAAGACAATGATGCAAATATAAGTAGTAAGGAAAAAGCATAAAAATGTTTCATAAAAAAAACTTACTTATGTTGAGAGAAGCGTACCTTGCGCCAGAAGCAATTACTGCTTTATGTACTTTCATACCATAGTGGCCCTTGCCTCCAAAAGCTGGAAGAAGTGATGGATGAATGTTAAATATTGATCTTTCATAAGCTCGGATCAGCTCCACTGGTATAAGTTTGAGGTATCCAGCTAAAAGAATAAAATCAACCTCCAATCTCCTGTAGAAAAAATGAACCAGATGTTATATAACCATATCATCTTTCTTTTTATCCTTTTGCAAATTTAGTCATAGCTAAATTGATTTCTTTTTCTTCGCGATTCAAATTTGATGTAAAAAAGTCACATATCATACGCATTAAATACTAACAGTTAAATGCAATAGCAGAAAATGAATAAAGAAGCATCTAACCTTAGTGAATCAACAAGCTCATTAGGAGACAATCCATTGGATTCATCCTTTGCTTTAGGGAACAATATAACTGGTATACCATTATTTCTTGCATACTCAGCACCTCCACACTCTGGTGTTAAAATAAAAAAAGGAAATTTTAGTAAGACTATAGATTTGAAGTAAATCAAAACATAGTGTCAATATCTATGTAGTCAATAGGGGCGACGTGTTGCATCACAGCAGCCCTGCGCTACATAATACAGTATTGCAGCGCGGAACAGTGTTGCAGTGGTAGCAGTGTGTGTTGTGGTGCTATCGCGAAAAAGGTCAACGGTGAACAGAGAGAAGAGACTGCAACAGTAACTTAAGAGTGCAGCGACATTGTACTCATGCTATCCTTCCGGAATAATGTGGGCTACACTCTTAAGGCCATGGGATCTCTTGTGCATGTACTAAGCCTTGTTGATAATGAGAAACAACCTGCTGTGGGTTATACCTTTAAGGCTATAGATAGGGCCAAGGGTACCATGATGAAATCTTCCTATAACAATGACAACAAGTACAAAGATATTTTTGTCATCATTGAAAAAAAAAAATATGGGAATGCCAACTTCGTCAACCATTGCATGCAGCTGGCCGTTCTCTTAATCGTCAGTTTTATTATGGTGACGCAGGTGTTGAAGGGAATGATGAAACTAATGATGGGCTTCTTAAATGTATTGAGAAGCTAAGTGCTACTACTGAAGAGGATGAAGCTACTGCTGAACTAGCATATTACAAGAGATCTGAAGCACTCTTTAGCTTGAGGACTGCAATAAGAAATAGAACTGCTATGGTTCCTGGTAGGTTAAAGTGCTTTGTTTCGATAAATTAAATTAGGTTTGCATGAGCTTTTATGTTAATAGTAATCCTACTTGGCTATTCGTTACAGCTGAGTGATAGAAGACTTATGGGAACCATGTTCCAAACTTGCAAATAATTGCAATTAGAGTATTGAGCTTGACATGCAGCTCTTCAGGCTGCGAACGTAACTAGAGTATGTTTGAGCAAGTAAATGTGATTTGGGTTTAGTTTATTTGAAGCATTGATTGATATATTATAGTGGTTGTGAAAGAAACTAACATTCTTTTTTTAAAACATTATAACAGATACATTCCAAGAAAAGAAACAAGCTTGAGCCCCAAAAGATGCTAGATTTGGCTTTTGTCAAGTATAACCAAATGTTAAGGAACGGTTTGACAGTCGTGACTTACTTAATCTCATTGCCTCGATGGATATTGATGTTTTTAGTGACTATCTGACCGGAGAATTGGTGAAGAATAGATGAAGTAGCGGGTGGAGCTGGAGACGACTTGGTCTTTGAGGGTGATACAATGACTTGGAGGGATGTTGCTAATGCAGCAGGATTTGGTGAGCCAATAGTAGTCAATAAGGGGCAACGAAAGATGAGGAACCAAGCTGGCCCGTCTACTCAAATAAATTTCACATAATAATGACGATGAGGAACTAGAAAAGGATGACACGGAAGACCTTGGCGCGATGATTATGATAGTGATACCCTTTAAGGAATCACTTGGATTTGCTTGAATGCTTAGATATTTTATTTGAGCCTTGGAGGCCAGAACTTATTTCCTATTTCGCTTAATGTTATGTTGGAATATTAGATGTGTTATTTTGAGGGTTGGAGGCTAGAACTTATAGTATTTCCTATTTTGCTTTTATGGTATGTTTGAATATTAGATGTGTTATTTTGCGTTTTGGAGGCTGGAACTTATTTGCTACTTGAATTATATTATGTTTAGTAGCAATGAACTTTTGTGATTAGTAATGAATTTATTTTATTTTGTGCATTCTGCTGGGTTTTAGTTTTGATATTTGTAGTGCTCTTGTTGTTTCTCAAGACTTTGATGTAGCAGCCATACTGATATTGCTACACCGCTGTGGCATTTTGGTGGTCGGCCGTTATGCTAGGTTATCTGCTACTTACTACATAGGTCAATATACTATGCCAAGTCACGTGTGACCAACTGCATCAATACACAAAAAAGTTTCATTCTTTAAATTCTATGTATAGTTACAAAAAATACTAACATGCCTGCCATCTTAATCATGAGACTGTGGCATCACGGTTTCAAATTGCAGTCGCAATATTAAGTTCCGATATTCGTGAAGCGGATTCTTTATATTGGCACAACACCCAAACCCGAGGAGGGAACTCCCTCTGACGCAGGGAAACCTCCCCCCGACGCCACCCTAATGAGCAATCTCTCTATGAATGGAAAAGGAGTGCTTCGGATCGGGAGTAATCAATGGTGACAAGGCTAAAACAGTAAGTAAGAATGCCGGGTGAATTATACGAAGATACAAAAGCATAATTTTAAGGAGACTTGAAGCGAGATAGCTATATATTTTCTATCTTCTTAGTAACAAGCACAAAAGCAGGAAAGCTAGCCAAGACCACAATTAGAGGATCCCTATCGTTCAGACATTACGGAGACTTTACGGCATCGCATCGCAATTGCGGTGGAACATCAATCATGTGTACAAACCACATTGTAACCGCAACAGCCACCGATAAGACCCTTTTAGCCACTATAACAACCGCATCAATATGCCTCTACTTGTTCACTGAAATCTTCTCAAACAAAAATAAAAGTCTAGACCCCAAAGCCCTTATCTACTTATGATTTGAAGAAAATTTCGACATCTTAAGTCTCTCACAACTGTGTATGTCAAGCACCTTTCAACAATATATATGGAGCAAACTGAAAATTTTCTATGGTGAGTAAACTTACAATTATGTCACACCTCACCTATGCCACAATGTGCAACAACGCAATCGCAATGTAAAACCATGTGTGTCATCAATTAAAATTGGAGAGAATGTGCTTATAGGAAAAGTACTAGTGCAAGCAAGAAGGCAGTCAAGAATTTAGCTAAGCTCAATGATAATAGAAAATCATAAAAATTACATCATATTATTATACAGAAGCACAAATGAAAATAAAGGGGTAGTTAGATGAACGATTACCGCTTTTATTTGTAACCAATACAATGACATCTCCATGAAGTGATCCCCTTTTGGATGCCTCGTGAATTGATTTGAAGTTCGATCCTCCACCAGACACAAACACTGCCAACTTTTTCCTTCTCCCCGTGACCTGAGTTCTCACCTCGTGCCCTTTGTTTGGATCTGCAATATCCTTGCTACTGCTACACCATACTCTCCTCCTAGAGCTATAACAACCGCCTTTTTTTGCAATGTTGATAGGGTGATAAACTCCACTCAAAACATCAAACTTCTGGGACTGAATAGAAGGGTATGAAGAAGAAAGTAAAGAAGGGGGTTTTCCAATTGGAATTGATGGTGCGGGTGATAGCTTTGGAGAAAACCCATAAACAATATGTTGAATTTCCATGAGGATTCTAGGTTAAATAATCTCGCCCTAGGAAAAATTGAAATGTAGAATCATAAGAATCTACTTATTAAATAAGCTCATCTTATGAATAACTGCAGAATAATCGATTCTCAATAATTCAAATTTTCAGCAAAACGCAATAATAAAGCAGAATACTCACGCTGGAAGGAGGAACGAAGCAAACACTCTCCCGCTGTAACGACGACCTCACGGTGACCGTAACTATGGCTGGACTCACAGGATTAAAATGGCTGGGAAAGTATCGAAACAAAAAAAATTAAAAACTTAGGTTTTGGATTATAAATTTTAACTTTGAACACGTTTTTTAAATTATAAATTTACTAACCGTAACTATTTGTACAACGTTGTTTAATTTTAAAATAGTCTTAAATTCACCCGTAGTTAGTTGGTTAAATGTTCATTGGCGTTAGGCTCCATAATTACGATCAAGAAAGAATTTGAAAAAATCTTAAAGTACGATGTAAACGAATTGCAACAGTAATAATGATTAATAAAATAATAATAATAATAATTATTATTATTATTATTATTATTATTATTATTATTATTATTATCTATCTATATCAATCTATTAAAAGTAAAGTATCTGGAAATTCCAAGTCTAACATTTTGATTAGATGTTATAACTTTTCTTATTCCAAGGGTATAATAGACTAATCAACACTATGCTGTTATGATATTCATTTGGCATTTAATTTTGCTGATATGTCAATCTATCATAATTTTACACTATTTTTTATTTATTTGATTTATTAATTTATTTTATTTATATTTGAAGTTTATTTATATTTGAATTTCAATTCCAATGTTTCATTCACGGTTAATTTATGGAATATTATTCATTGCATGATTTAAAAATATCCACTATTTATCATTACACTACGAGATTAAATGTATATTATTAGTATTAGAATGGATTATTTTGATATTCCAAGATATCACAACTTCTCATGTATTCTAAACCCTATTCTAAGCCCTTACTCTTTCACTCCTCAATCTTCTTCATTCTCCATTATTTTCAAAAGGTTACGTATTATTTTTCAATTCTTCTTCATTCCCATATTGGCAATAATTATCTAAGATGATAAAACCAACGTTGATATGCGATCATTTTCTGGTTCTATAGAAGAATGTTTTTAACAATATTTGATTCAAATTATGTATATGTATATTATTATTGTTTTTATATTTTGTATGTCATATCAACATTGGTTTTGGCATAATATATTTTTCTACAATTTATTTTACACCAAATTCTAAGTTGTTTTGAATGTAGTATTGCCTCTAGCAAACACACTACTCTAAGTTTCGTTCAATTAACATATTTACAATCTTTTTTAAATAGAATTTCTCTTCTCCTAAAGAGAAGATAATAACCTACAAGTTGGTGTTGATGTGCCTTCAAAATTCTAATTTATTTTGAATCGAAATTATAATTCTCATTTGTCGTGAAATTTGAATAAAAATTTTATTTTGTATTGATATTTTTTTTATTTTTAATTGCTATAATTTTAGAAACAAATATTACAATTTTTAATAAAATATTTACGATTTATTTTTTTAAAGTACGACTAATTAATATATTTTTATACAATATTAAAAATAAATATTACAATTTTTTAATCAAATATTAGAATACCATTTAATTCGATACTTTACCAATATATCTTTTGAATGGAGACATTATTATCATTTATTTTTATTATACTTATATGGAAATTATTTTGAATGGTGACATAAATATATTTAATTTTTATATATGATTTGATTCCATAAAATATTATGATCAATAAAATTTGAATTCTCTTTTAATATTATAGGTTTGATACTGTTTCATATTGTAGGAATATTATATACATTAGAATATATAAAGATATGAAAAAAATTAAATCAAAACTTTACAAATATATCTTTTGAATGGAGGTATTAATATTATTTATTTTTATTATATATAGAAAATATTTTGAATGGTCACATTAATACATTTTATTTTTATGCATGATTTGATTTCAAAAATTTATGATCAATAAATTTTGAATGGAATTATAATTTAACCAATAAAATTTTCTACCGACTTCTAAATATATTTGTGTATATTTTTTGAAAGGTTACATTTATATTCTTGAATCATGATAAAAAAATATTAAATGGTAATCATGAAAATTTAATGATAAATGATAATCATAAAAATTTATGATAAAATAAAAAATTATTGATACAATCATTTTAATAAATTAAATAATTTATAATTAATTTTATAAAGGTGAATAAATTACAAATAATTTTATAAATGTAATAAATTAAACTATTTATAAAATTATTTATATCAATAATAGTAAATTACATATATTTTAATAATGGACACACTAATTCAACATGTTTATAAACCGGAAAAAAGTTACAATAATTTTATAAACAGGAATAAATTAATGTCATTTTATATAAATTAATGATATAATATAATGTATTAAATATTTATATAACACTTTATTAAATAAATTTATTTCATGAAATTAATTTTATATAATATCATTAATATTTAATTATTGAAAATTCGCAATAAACTGAAAAATATTTATTACAAATCGAATATAATAAAACATAAGAAATAAATACATAATTTTGAAATGTTATATATGATTCATTGTAATAATAAATGTTAAATTATTATTTAATATTATAATAAAATTTTCGATATTCTTAGATTTAATTTATTCTTTTTCCCGTATATAATAATTATATTATATTATTATTTAATATTATAATTTTTGATTGACAATAATAAATTCATTTTAATTAGTTAGACATTAAGATAATAAATTTAATATATATCACTAATACACGATATTTATTTATAAATGTAATTAACTAATAGACACATATTTATCACTGTTGAATAAATAAATTTAAGATGATATGGTAAATATTTATTTTTACAATTATTTTTTACAATTATTCTGCCAATTACGTGAAACTATTCTTTACATACAATTATTTTTTACACGATATTTTTTACATAATTATTCTGCCTATATTTCATTTTCGATTTCCAAAGTGAAACTATAATGATTTTTTCTGACCATTGCTTTTCTTTTCAATTCAAGATTAATTGGCAGAATGGTTAGAATCTAGAAAGTTACCTTTTCTTATTGGTACTTGATTGTCCATAATTAAAACATTTTTAATTAAATTTTGAAATAACACTTAACACTATTTAACGCTATTATTATTAATTATTATTATTAATAATTAAAATGGTTCACAAAAATAATCACCTGATATTCTGTTAACTTCAGTATTTCCAAAGAAATATCAAACTGAAACCATTGTTGATCACGATGGATATCCCGTGTACCGAAGAAGAGAAACTGGTAATACAGTGCTGAAAAAACACGTTCAACTTGATAACAGATATGTAGTTCCTTACAATCCATATTTGTTGAAGAAATTTCAAGCACACATCAATATGGAGTGGTGTAATCAAAGTACTTCAGTTAAATACTTATTTAAGTATATTAACAAGGGGTATGATAGAATTACTGCTGCTGTTGTCCAAACTGACAGTGATGGATCTCCCTCGGTCAGAATGGTTGACGAAATCAAGCAATATCTTAATTGCAGATATATCTCACCAAGTGAGGCATGTTGGAGACTTTTTTCATTTCCTATTCATGGTAGATCACCCGCAGTTGAAAGGTTGTTCTTTCATCTTGAAGGAGACAACTCTGTTTATTATACCGATTATGAATTGATAGATGAGGTGCTTGACAAACCAACTGTGAAAGAATCTATGTTTACGGCATGGATGGAAGCAAACAAAGCATACCCAGAGGCAAAGAATTTGACGTACTCACAATTTCTTTCCAAATTTGTTTATGATAAAAGATACCGTCGATGGAGACCGCGTAAAAGAGGAAATACAATTGACAGACTTATTTGGGTCCCTCCAAGTACGGGTGAGTTATATTTCTTGAGAATGATGCTAACAGTCGTCAAAGCTCCAACTTGCTATGAGGATATAAAATTTGTGGATGGAAAAGTTCAGGATTCTTTTAGGGATGCATGCTTCGAAATGGGCTTTCTTAACGATGACAAGGAATATGTTGCAGCCATCGACGAAGCAAAGAATTGGGGTTCCGGGCATTTTTTACGAAAGTTATTTGTCACTATGTTACTATCCGGTACTGTCAATAGACCACGACATGTTTGGGAAAAAACTTGGAGGACGTTATCTGATGGTATCCTCTACCAACAAAGGCAAAAAACAAATAGAAGAGGTATGAACACTTTATTAAACTTTTTTAAGTCAACAAATATTATTTTCTGAATGCAAGTTGTATCTTTTTTTATTACAAAATATAATGATATGAACTTACTTTAAAATATAATTATTCTTCATCCATATGTCCCTTATTTAATATGTTTCATAAGGTATGTCTATTTACGTAAGAAACATTTTCATATTTGTCATTTGTCATGTATGTAAGTTATTTTCTTAACTTGTAGCTGCAACAATGTCTTTGGTTCCATTTAATTTCACGCAGCCGCAACATCAACTGTTTGATTTATGTTCAATGTATTTCAACATCACGACAGCAGTTGCATCATACATATGTAATTATATAGAAAACTAATGAAAAATTTTTAACAGAATTGCAGCTATCGGACAATGAGTTAAAGAATCTCACACTAATTGAGATTGAGAACATGATGCAATCGAATCGAAGAAGTTTGCGTGAATTTAAATGTATGTCGTATCCAGATTCATACATCACAAAACATATTGGCAATAGGCTTATTTATGACGAACTTAATTACGATGCCGATACCGAGAAACAGAAATTCCAAGAACTTTTTCATGCCCTTACAGGTGATTTATTTTCTTTATACTATGAATTACAAAAATGATTTTTATTGTCCTTGCACTTATAATTCTTGGTTTGTATTTTATAGATGAACAACGTTTGATATTTGAGAAA